TTGTAATGGTTCTTTATGATTAAATAAATAAACGACACCAACCTGATTGCAGGATTAAAAAAAAAAAAAAAAAAAACAATCTGATTTAAAGTAAAAAAATAAATAGACAAAAATAAAATTACTTTTATTTATAATTAGTTTATAGATTAGACTATTCTTATTATTTTAAATAATTATTTTTAATTTAAAATTTTATGTTATATATTAATTTTATGACTTGATTTTCATAAAATTCAAGTTTTTTAATATGATCTTATATATTTTTTCGTAATAAATAATATAAAAATAATATTATGTACTTAATATTACTAATTAATATAAAAATATTTTAATTAAAATTATTTATTAATTAAATTAATATTTATTAAAAAATTTTGGATACCACTGTATAATAATATTTTATGCCGTATATTTATTTTATTTATTTATATTCATATTTTATGTTTTCAAAATTTTGTATACAAAACCAATATTTTTTTTTTAAAAAAACAGGAAATATCGTATACAATATAGATTAGATTAAATGTGATACAGGCAATATAAGGTTATCGTTTTTCTTTTGAAAATTGAGACTTTTCTACCATTTAAATATGATCCAAAATGCAAGGATTCGATCTTATTTTGACCCTTTTTAACTTTTTCTGTATTGAAACTCGCATAATTAGATTCAGTATATACTTACTGAATATATGCAAAGGAAATCTTGCCTAGTTAAAATGTGGATTCGGCTTAATTCCTGAATTGGATCGTCGCGCCCAAATGTCAAACCATACTCCCTCCCTTCCTCTCCCGAACAGTGCCTAAATTTGGCATCAGTTGTTATCTCCGCACGCCAATCAATAATCTATTAACTATTTCAGTATCTAATTTTTTTTGAATGCGTAATATTGTTAATAAAAGATTTCGGGCTAATTGTTTGTATGACGTAAATGCCAATCGATTATCGGATGGTTAGTAATTAAATTTTGGTAAACAAGAGTGAGAATCAGATGAGTCGTTTTCTAACCAATTCCCTGATGGAGAATAATATAAAAGGCATCAATATGAAATGATCTCGAGGTTTAACTAAAGCGGACATTTGTGCACGTGATTTACGTTGCAATGGTACAATAGAAAACTTTAAACACTCGAGAAGCCTAATATAAAAGAAAGGAGTGTTGATTGCGAATCAAATCTTTGTCAATTTTCGTATCACGATTAAAAGTGCAGTGTGACTCCTACTCATAGCTCCACTCACTGTTCCTTAACATAATGTAACACGAGTTTTACATTCACCAGAGCTACCTGGTAATTGAGCAAACACCATTATACAGTATATCGTTATCGCCCGTTTTGATACATCATCACCCATATAAAAACACATTTTTGCCTTTTATTATATAGTCAATCTTCCCCCCTGTCTCTAATAATGAAAAGTTCAATTAGCCAGCATGTGATCACGGAGGATGATCGTAAAGGATCGTGAAATTGGCGAGTAACCGCCTTTTATTATTCCAAAGGGACTATTCATAAGAAAACAAGCCTCTTCATTTAAAAAGTGATGAGCATGAAATAAGATCGATGATGGAAGCGTGTGATAGATAATATAAAAGGTTAGAACGAGAAAATAGCAGATTCCATTTTATTTGGATTTTTCGTTACGTAAAGATCTCTGAGCTCGCTCGTTTGTAGAATTGCACGAGCATATACATCTGTTGGCGAATAAGATGTTTGTATAATACTTAATTTAGTATCATTATCAGAGGAGAGGTCTTCGGTGCCGGGGATGTTCACTTTAAGTGGTTTACATGTACGTTATGTGCGGTAAGTCCTTTTAAGGGCCTAGAGATTTCATAGCCCTAATGCATCATTTAATGATAGTGATGATGATGTAGAGCTCTTATCTCGGACATCGAGACATTAATTGTCACTAAACCTTATTTGTTTTCGGAGTAGCAGCACGCGACATGACGGAGTGAACATCGTTTAGTTTTTTTTTCGGTTAGACTGTTGGCATACTCTCAAGCCACAAGAAGAGACTATTGCAATCACAGTTTCTGGTGAATTAATCGAATAGTAATAATAACTTTGCGATTTACATGGCCAAAAGAATGAAGCATGATGATACATAAGATGAATGCCTCTAGTTGACCATTGCGATCGGACGGAGATCCTTCGACCGGATGAGAATAGTTCCTTAATCTCGGAAAAGGGTGGCCGCTTATCAACTCTGCCTGCACTCTAAGCAAATATTTTCTAGGTTATCATAATTATCATCGTTTTTTTTTTAGGTTAATGCAATCCAAATTTAACTTTTAATGATTCGATATCTAATGCATCCTGATCTCCTTTATTGAAATAAATCATTACCAAATCGAGTAACCAGTGACAATGCTGGACACACGGCATCCTTTTATGTCATGCAGTTTCGTTCATACGTTATACAATAATATAAAGAGTTGGCAAAAGATATTAAACGGTCACAGTCCGTGTCACAAGCCGATGATGGCACCTTGCAAAGATTATTATTAGTCTCATCAAATTTGGGTTCTAACAAAAAAAAAAATCAAGTCGCATGTACTAACTAGTGGAAGTATGCAAGAAGAATCGCTTTTTATATCCATAGAATCATCTAGGTATTCAAAATATGACTACGTAATGGTCATAGAATTAATTCCTTTGTGTATCCTGTCATGGTTATGACCATTTACTTTATGAACTAGCTCAGGTGATAAAGGTGACAATTGACATGGGGATGATTAGGTTGTTTACTTTTTTTTTATGCACCACCCGAAAAAAAAAAAAAAAAACGTTTATAATTTATCATTTACAATATGTGATAATATGAGAGCGCTATAAATGTACCTATAGATGTGTGGAACGCGCAAAGCATTAGAAGCATAAGAACGCGCAGAGCATGAGAAACGACAACATTATCATCTGGACGATTCCATGGGTTAAAGAATTTGCTCGCAATAAATGATTATGTGTGAAGTCCGACGATAAATTCCCGATGAACACGCCACACCTTTCGGTTAATTTATCACGAGTTGCTTGCTTCCGTTATTTTCAACAAAACTTTGCAGCCTCAAACAAGTCTGACAATCAATGTTTGAGTGATTCTAATTCTGACCAAAATTATGCATACAACATATTTGTTATCTTTATTATATATCATTGCATACATAATATAACGTACTCTATTATAACATAACATAAATTATTCAAAAAAGAATACAAAAATACAACTGTTACCGACGATTTGTCTTCAGGTTTTTTTTTTTTTTTTCTTCCATGGAAGTAACGCATTCAAATTTAAATTCTTTTTCAACTTCAACATCTTATATTGCTCTCTGCTCCATTATCAACAAAAGAGTTTGGTGTTTCCTCATGCATCGACATCATCTCTTTTAATAAATAATAATAACCTTATCCTAAAATTTCTCACCACATCAACCCTTCCCAAATTAAAAACCTCTCATGATAAACAGTTCAAATTTTTTATATAAACTGGTTTTTTTCTTTAGCGTCGCCTTATTTTTTTAAAGTTCAATTTTTTTTTTTTAATGTCCTTTACAATTATATAAATACATATATATCTACAGTATATACCATTTTCTAAAAAAAAAATCTCCGTTAAAAGGAACTTATGGTATTTTTTTTTTGACGACTTCCTTCGAATATCGCCCGCAGTAATTTTATTGCAAACCTTTCCCATACCATGGAGTACGGATTTCCGCGTTTGTATTTGTTATAAATCAAAGAAAGAACTAGAAGAGAACGTCATAAGTATACTGCTTTGGTTAAAGCAACAAAAAATTTTTTCCCCTTTTGTCATACACCACCAATATATCAAACTTCCGAAAAGTCCCAGCTCATTTTCGTAGAACGAAACAATATTTCAGCCGGTAAATATCGATGCTGCTACTGAAATAATTTTTTTTTTGTTTTAAATTGATTCGCTTATCCGTGTAAACATGAATTATCTGTCAGGATAGTGCTTCTTCACCACGTCGACTTTATCTTTGTTTCTCGCATATATATATCCCATTTTCCATGCCTTTGACAATTTCCGGAGCTGGTTCCTTTTCGCTTTTTAAGGGTCCCTCATTAACCGCCACTTCCCTGATATCTAATAAAGAACCCGTGGGTATTCCCTCTCTTTCCGCCTCCATTGCTAACGCTTCTTCCAAAGGCGAAAAGAATTCCTCAAGTCTCATGAACTCGGTAGTTCTTACGGAAAGGAGAGCTCGTTCGGTGGACGCCACTATGAATCGTAACCGTCGGGGTAGTAATTGCAGTTCAAGAACTAGTAACAAAAAACCTGTATGGTTCAAGACATTCATACTTCGAATACAGCAAACCCTTTTTAAGTTCAATAATGAGTCGGGGGATCAAGTAGAAAAGGATGATGACAATTTCTCCCATCGAACAAGATCAAGCGATGACATCGTTCGTCGGGATGAAAAGAGTAATGACATGGATAACTCGAGAAAGGAGGTGGAACTATGTGACAATACGGTTGCCTCAATAAATCGTGATAATTTCATACCTGATAATGAAATATCAATATCTTCTTCTTTTTCTTCTTCTTCCTCTTCGCCGCCATCTTCTCTTCAACGTCACTCCACCTCTTCAATCTTTGAGATCTGTGCTCAAACCCCTCGACATAAAACCAAGGAACCCGAGGTGTTGCGTCAAGTTGGACGGTTTACCATCGTCCGAGAAAGCGAAGATTTTGATACTATAATATTTGACCAGTGTCATTGTTTACAAAAACCCTGCAAATATTCTTCAAGTGGTGGAACACATCCTCTCTTATCGCCGAGACTTCTACCAGAATCACCGCAGACTCGATATATGAATGGTGCTTATCAACAACAAATATGTCTAGGGTCAACAGATCAATATCGACCAAATAATTCACTGTCTCCAAGGTTGACCTCTCGATCTGGCCCTCCTGGTGTTCACGGATATGCATTCTATTCGCAACCTTCCCCAATTGCATCTTCATCAAGATATTCCTTGCCTTGTCTATACAGCAGCAATAACTACAATAATAACCTGACAAATATCGGCATCGTGAACAGGTTATCGTCCTCATATAACACTGTTCCGCCGGCGTCAACGGTGTCCAAGTCAAAAGCTATGGTAACGGCAGCGAATATTGCCACCACATCATGCCGAAAGGTTCTTCCCACCTCTGCGTCATCACCAAATCTAATGAACATACATAATCGAGCAAAGAATGAAAGTGTATGTAACAATAATAAACGACGTCCTTCATCCCATGTAAGCGGTGGTGGAACTGCCTCATCGACTGTACGAACAAAAAAGTCGTCTATTTTTAATTTGCAACAAGAGTTTCCATCTAACAAAAGACATAATTCGGCGCCTGTGGCACCGACTCCATCACCATCATTCTACATTTCTTTACCACCGAAACTATCCGTTTCTCCTCAAGAACCTCACACCACGATAAGTTCCCATTCGGGTAGAAAGTTTGAAGTGGAATTGTGCTCTTCATCAGTCACTTCTTCCTCGAATTCTTTTTCCTCCTCGGAATTTGCCTCCTCTTCACCTGCTTCCACTATCAGTATGATTAGCTTTGCTTCGAGTCCTGGTACGAGTTCAAACTCTCCCACGACGACACTAAGTCGTCAACGTAGCAGTACTCTCAGTAGCAAGCATGGTCGTAAATTCGAGGTCACGGTCTTAGCATCGGACAATGATACAACCAAGGAAAATTGATTAATTAATTAATTGGCTACGAACAATTATTTAGGAGGAATATTACAATCAAAAAAAAAAAACAAAAAAAAAAAAACAATCAGATAAATAAAATAAATAACAAAAAAAAAAAAAAAAAAATAATGTACGGATCTATTTTATCTATGTAAACCTTTAATCTGGGAGAGATCTATGAACATAATTGTCTATATATAATTTCATTATATTATACAAACTCAAGAGGTGCGAATCTATTACTTCTTTTCAAGCACAATAGAATAGGTTGTACTTTTGAATAAGTGCAGTTTGCACATATTCAATAATGTAACCGAAAAAACACCACATTTAAAGAAAACAAGAACACATCAATGTAAATATTTGATCTTGGTTTAATTTTTTCTATAAAATCACCATTTTTTTCATCAATGAAAATCTGCGAACATTCGATAATCAAACATCATGTAAACTTCAGTGCATTTTGTTGATTTTATTTTTTTATATGTACCAGCAATTTTATTTTGAAAATGCATTGCATATAAATAAATTCAATTTAAATATTATTTACAAGTATTATTATATATAAAAGAAATTATTTTACAATTTTGAAATTTATTCAAGTTTTTTTCTTTTATTATTATTATTTTTTAACGAGTATCAAACATAAACCTTCATTATTATAGATGTTATAGTTTAATACTAGCTTATCAAATTAAGTTAACAGATACAAAATTATAAAAACTTAAAGAAAAAGAAAAAACCAAATAATAGCTAAATACTAGTTGTTTTATGATAATAATAAAGAAATTGCAATATTTGATTTTGAATTGTAACCTGGATATATATAATCATATAATCAATAAAAAAAATAATTGTAAATTAAATGGTTTGTTTATATTAGTAATTTTAATTAATATAATAAACATAATTATCTTATATTAATTAATTATAGTTTTTGTAAAAAAATTTTGAAAACCAAAATCAAAAAAGCAACTTTTAAATTATTCTTCTTAAATAAATTAAACAATAGTATTGACAAGTTTTTTGATAGAGTTATTTATTTTTAATTAATAAAATACAAAAAATATTAAAATGTGTTTAAACAAAACTTAATATTTTTTATACAAATTAAAATTATTGTTTTTAATAATTTTTTTATATATTTTAATAATTTTATAAATAATTTATTAACTATTAAAAAATATTTAATTGTAATTTAAATTATATATATATATAATTATATACTGTATATTATATAATATAAATTATTTTTTATTAAAAAAAACTTTTTTTTATATATAATATTTTTTTTATCTTTAAACTCTCAAAATTTTATACATCTCTTTTATTTTCATTATAAGAGTCTTAAAAAAACTAAAAAAGTATATTGATATATTAAAATAAAACCTTTAATCAAGAAAAAGTAAGTTTAAAGATCTTGCTTTTTTTTTTTAATTATATAAGAAAAGATTTATAACAGTTGTTTTTTATAAATCTTTTTGAAGTTTTTTCTATTTATTTTTTTTTTTTGTAAGTAAACATTATCACTTTGTTAATTGTAAAATTGTTTGAAATTTATATATGGAGAAAGTAACAATATCTCTTATATAACTAGCTAAGT